CCTCCCTGCACTCACATGGCTTTTCCCATTGCGCCAGTCTGCTGCTCCCACTTCTGAACTACCTCATCCCTTCTACCTCCATCTGCACCCTCCTCTTCCTGTTCAATCCTCCCTCCTCCCTCCACCGTGCTCATTTCTCCTTGCTCCCTTCTCTGCTCCTCCTACGTGGGGCGTTTCACGACAACGACGAGGACGATGACCACGACGGCGACAACGAGGACGACGACGACCACGACGACGACGACGAGGACGATGACCACGACGGCGACCAGCGACGACGACTAGCGACGACGACGACCGACGACGACGACGCCGACCACGACGACGACGGCGACGACGACAACGAGCGACGACGACAACGACAATCGACGCCGACGAGGAACGACGACGACGAACGAGGACGACGATTACGACGACGAGATGACGAAGGTTCGAAGATCGAACCTCGAAGTGCGAAGCTTCGAAATTCAAACTGCGACCTTCGAACTCCGAACTTCAAACTTCGAACTGCGAACTTCGCTGGGGTGCCAGGGATGCAATGGGATGGAGGGAAAAATGGGAAGGAGAGAACGAGGAAGCGGGAGAGGAAATTGGAGGAGAACGAACAGGCGTGGAGCGACGAGGAACGGGCGGCGAGGAGCCGACGTTGAGGGCGGCGGGATGGGGGGACAGGGAGGAGAGGGAAGACTTCTTAACGAAGATCGCGCCACGGCGCCTGCACGCGCGCTCCCGATCTCGGCGGCCGACGCGCGCGCCCCTGCCGAAATGCGACGCGCCCTTCGTTCGAGCCCCGCTGCTGCTGCGGAGCCATCTACTCCGCAACCAAATCGTCTGGGGAGTTATTCGGCCCCAAAGCTACTGGTTTGCCAGCCGCTGCTGCGGACGCCGAGGGCCTGGTGCTGGACGCCGCGGCCCCGCTGCTGCGGGGCCCCTGAGAAGGCGTCGGCCCCCCCTTCTCTCTGGCGGCGTCGAACTTGACCTCGCGCTCCACACCGAGGTCCTTGTGCCAGCGAAAAGATCCTGACCCGTCGCCCCCGCCCAAACCCGCGGCTGGTGGCCTCACCGTGTCCGCGCGGGGGACGAGGGGCAGAGCTTCGACCTTCCTGTCGCCCCAGTGCGGGTGTAAACGGACGCCTGTCCCGTCGTCGCGGTGCAACGCGAAATCCCACATCGGCAGCTTCACTTTCACCCGCTGCCCCGCGAACTGTCGCGCGCGCACAATACTCTGACGCATGCGGTCGTAGCTGTTTGGCCGGACTTCGAGGGAACAGCCGATCAGAGCCCCGCTGCTGCGGGGCCCCCCCACGACCTCCCTGATATCTTCCTCCCTGAGCGTCGCCACCATCTCTTGCCACCGCCAAGGGACTTCCTCGTCGCTTTTGAAACCAAAGCTCGTCCTCGCACCGTGGTCGCAAACAGCGACCATGGTGGGCTCCGCATTGTCAAACCACTTGGCTTCTGACTCGAACGGGGCAGTTGGGTCTTCATTCAGATGGCGCCACCATTTCAACGCTTGATTGTGTTGCTTAAACGAAGTGCCGAGCCTCTCTTCATAACTCAAAAAATAATTAACATCAAACTTCTCAAAATCCTGGGGCCCGCGCGCCGCCGCCGCTGCGGTGGCGCGGGGCTCCTGCGCCGCAGGCGCGGCTCGGGATCCCGACCCCTCTCCTGAAACTGTGTTCCCAGGTTCTGGTGAGTTTCGGAGGGCAGCCCTCACGAAATTATCGAATTCGGGCATGCCGAGACCAGGGGCGCGGGGGCTCACAACGCTAAGCGCGGCGAAGCGAGACGGCCGTTGAGGCGAGACCGCCGCCGCTGCTGCGGCGGCAGGGCCATCGCGCCATTTGGCGTCCTCCGTTGGCGTGCGCCCGTCTTGTCGCCAGTCTCTCCAACCCCTCGCTGACCAATCATGGCCGTCCTCCCAGCCACGCCAGCCGCTGCTGCGGCTATCCCGCCATCCTCCCGCGCCACCCCATGTGCATCCGCCTGCATCGCCCATTGCAAGACGATGGCGCAGGCGCGCGTTAGGCCGCGACGGGCCCAGCTGCACCGGTGCTCGCGGGCGATCCCACGGGCGCGGGATGGTTTGAGCATAGCGGCGACGGACGACGCGATGTGATTGGACGGCGAGAACTTGAAAGGAAGGGGGGTTGGAAACGGATGAACGAAGTGGACGAAGAGCGGAAATCGAACCAGAGGGGGGGGCGAAAAAAGAGCGGAAGAGAATAAGGACATGCAGACGAAGGAGAGTGACGAGGTAGATGGCGGGCCAGAACGGCAACGGAGGATAATGTGGTGGAAATTGTGAAAAGGACGCATGGAAAAACACGACGAGGATCACAGACGCAAAGATGATGAGCGCAGTGGTAGCATGACATATCCGAAATCAAGAAGCAGGATGACGAGGAACGGGATGACGAGCAACTCTGTCGCAGAGAGCCTCCGAACGCACCCCCTCTGTCACAGAGGGCCTCCGAACGCGCCCCCTCTGTCACAGAGGGCCTCCGAAAAACACCCTCTGTCACAGAGGGGGGAAATGATCACTTTAATGCGGCTTCTGGATTAGCAGTAGTAGTAGTAGTAGTAGTGGTAGTAGTAGTAGTAGCATTAGTAATATTATTATTATTACTACTATTATCATTATTAATATTGTTATTATTAGTATTATTATTATTAGTAGTAGTAGTAGTAGTAGTAGTAGTAGTAGTAGTAGTAGTAGTAGTCGTAGTAGTAGTAGTAGTATAGTAGTAGTAGTAGTAGTCGTAGTAGTCGTAGTCGTAGTCGTAGTCGTAGTCGTAGTAGTAGTAGTAGTAGTAGTAGTAGTAGTAGTAGTAGTAGTAGTAGTAGTAGTAGTAGTAGTAGTAGTAGTAGTAGTAGTAGTAGTAGTAGTAGTAGTAGTAGTAGTAGTAGTAGTAGTAGTAGTAGTAGTAGTAGTAGTAGTAGTAGTAGTAGTAGTAGTAGTAGTAGTAGTAGTAGTAGTAGTAGTAGTAGTAGTAATAGTAGTAGTAGTAGTAGTAGTAGTAGTAGTAGTAGTAGTAGTAGTGGTAGTAGTAGTAGTAGTAGTAGTAGTAGTCGTAGAATTCCGAAGAAATTCCGAATAATCAAAAGGAAGGCTGAGGAATTCCGAAGAATCCGAAGGAATCCTTAGGAATTCCGAAGGAGGAATGCAAAAGGAATTCCGAAGGAGGAATCCAAAAGGAATTCCGAAGGAGGAATCCACAGGAATTCCGAAAGAGGAACCCAAAGGAATCCGGAGGAATTCCGAAGGATTCCTGAGGAATACCAAAGAAATCCTAAGGAATTCCGAAGAAATCCGAAGGAATTCCGAAGGAATCCCAAGTACTTCCGAAGGAGTCCTACAGAATCCTCAGGAATTCCAAAAAGGAATCCCAAGGAATTCCGAAGGAGTCCTAAAGAATCCTGAGGAATTCCGAAGAATTCGAAGGGATCCGGAGGAATTCCGAAGATCCCATCCGTGGAAGCAATTGGTCTCATTTTTGGTTGGGTTGGAATTAGTCTCATTTGTGGTTGGAATTTGTCTCGCTTCCGATTGCAATTCGCTACGAACGGTTGGAATTGGGACCAGTCGGTTGTAATTCGTTCCATTTCGGCTGGACCCCCCCCCCCCTCTCGCCCGGCAAGCCCCCCCCTCCCCCCCCCCCCCCCCCCCTCGAAAACCGGGGGGGGGTCACTACCGGTTCGAACCCCTCCCCCCCCCCCCCTCCGGATCCGGAAAACCGGGGGGGGTCACTACCGGTTGGACCCCCCCCCCTTGAAAACCGGAGGGGCGTCACTACCGGTTCGACCCCCCCCCTCCCACGCACCGCCGCCAGCAAACGACTCCCGGTCCCTACCACCGCTCGCATCACATCCCCCACTATTGTTCCCAGCACCACTGTCCTCACCACCACTGTCCCCACTGGTCCACCACCGTCCCTATTGTCCACACCAGTGCCCCCACCACGGTCGCACTGTCCCCACTGTTCCCACCACTGTTCCCACCACGGCTCCACTCTCCCCACTGTCTCCACGGACCCAACCACTGCCTATCCCCACTGTCCCCACTGTCCCACTGACTCCTCCGCTGTCCCACTGAGCTGTCCCACTGTTCCCACCACTGTCCCCACTGTCCCCACCACTGTCCCCACTCTACTTCTGTCCCATTGTCGCACCGCCGTCCTCGCCACCGCCTTTACCACTGTCCCCACCACCATTGTACCCTCCACTATCCCACTGTTTCCACCTCATTCCCACTGTCCTCACCACCACTGTCCCCACCACCACCGTCCCCACCACTGTCCACTGTCCCCCCTGTTCCCACCATTGTCCCCACCACTGTCCCCACCACTACCGTCCCCACCACTGTCCCACTGTTCCACTGTCCCCACCACTGTCCCGCTGTCCCCTCACCACTGTCCCCACCAACACCGTCCCCACCACTGTCCGCACCCCCACTCGGTTTTCGAGGGGGGGGGGGGGTTCGAACCGGTAGTGACCCCCCCCCCTTTTCATGATGAACTGGGGGGGGGGGGGGGTTCGAACCGGTAGTGACCCCCCCCCCGGTTTTCCGGAGGGGAGGGGGGGGGGAGGGGTTCGAACCGGTAGTGACCCCCCCCGGTTTTCCGCCAGCAGCGGTAGAACACGCTCTTTCACATATGCACATACGCATACCTAAACCTATACATATACATACACATATACATACACATATGCATACGCCAATGCATGCATCTATCTTTGAAAATAAAATCATGCCTATACAAATGCATATGCCTATATACAGATGCACCTATACACAACATTTTGTGTATATATATATATGCACACTAGAACCATCGCGCGCTTCGCGCGCGCTCAAGTTCTACCTAGGCTGAATCGGCTAACTCATGTAATCTCATTTGGGCGTTTCTTGCGTCCAGGGACTCCCTTGGAGGCCCTGCGCAAGCCTCGGAATCGTAAAGGAGGGGAAGTGCGGAAACGCAGATATCATTAATTCCCTTTTTTGGTTTTCAACGATTTTGGGCCCTTAAAGGCTTCCTGGATTCTTTTGTTTTGTCGAACTCTCTGAAGCAACAGTGCCAAGCGCAGAGTGAGCATACATATGCAAATGCAGTGAAAACGCACTTTGCGTTCCACGGGCGTCACCATGCGTGCCACTTACCGATGCTGGACCTAGGTGGCCCACCACGAATTAAAGCTGTATACACATGTGTATCTGCAAATTTATGAATAAATCTATACACGTAAGAATGCTCACACTCTCTGTCCCCCTCCCTTCCACCTCGCTCGCCTACTGCTGCCGGCAAGGCTCGAGCAGATGTGAGACAATCTGGCCACTGGAGCGGTGGTCGGAAACGAAAAGGGCCCTATTTCAATCCCTGCTGGGATCCTCCGCCATCCCCGTTGCCGCTGCGAGCCGGGAAGTGGGCTACTGAAGGCAAGCCAGTTCCGCACCCACAAAGCGATAGATCTACCCACACTGCTCAAATGTCGCACTCATCATGGAAGTTACAACGCATGAGAAGCGAAGGGTATTCGGCCGAATGGTTAATACATCGGGAGACGACTGTAGCATGCAACTGCTATGTCTGATCCCCTCGCGTATCTGATACGGATTAAAATGCAGTGCTGCGTGCTGCGATAGGGGGTCTCGCTGTCGCCACGAAGCACATGCCCGTCACCGCGTCTGCGCGATAGTGGATGCAAAAATGTGTCTTATCTGGTGGGGTATCTGGAACGGTTGTTTCATGTAGCCTTTGCTATCGTCAAGCTACCTTCCCGGGACTAAATCGAAAGCCCTGAGGCCTGACCGCGAGACCAGCTGCGAGCCAACCCGGCGTCACCAGACCTGGCTGAGGCAGCCGACGGACTGCGTGACAAATTTCCGCCTGACCTACCCGATCGCATACCTGTCGAGGAAAGGCTGCTCCGTTGCGATGCGCCGATCTCGCTTCCCGAGGACGCTTCGGCCGATGCACCGCGTGACAGGCTGCGCGCCTGCTTGGGTTCGTTGCTTTGCGACTCGATCCTTGGGGGCGCTCCAGGCGCGACCCATATTATGTCCTCGGGCGTCCCCTGCTCGAGGTCATTTCGCGACACAGCCTCCAAGTCCTCTTCAGACTTCCGTTGCCGGCGGATCCTTAAGAAACATAACAATTGAATGCAACAGCACAAAACAAGTATCGCGCCAACTATGATGCCCATAACGACAAAATCAATGCTCGCCGTTTTCTCCGTGTCGGCAATGAGGCCCTCTGCGAATGGCGTTGCCGTCGTTGATGTCGTCTGGGTGGCGGTGATTTCCATTATCGTGGGCTCTGCGTGCACGAGGACACTGGAATTTGACACGAGTGTCAGGCCCCGAGATGGCATGGCGAGCTCCATGAGGCTATAAAACGTCTCAATCGACTCCAAGTTCTCTCCTGAGGTCGCGTTTACATGCTGATGCAGCTCTGTCGTTACGTCGTATGCCGAAAAAGCGGGAGATGCACTTGCAACTATCGTCCAATCGACCTGCCAATGCGTGACTGAGCTGGTGAGCTCCCGGTCCGACATGAGCCGTCGCGAGCTGTTTGTGAAAAGCGAGGCAACACAGAACACAGCACTTTCGGGCACGCCCTTATGTGAAGCAAGTGCATTCACTGACGCACTTTCCACCTGCTCTTGAATGCCCGTGCTTTCGAACCACATAGATCCCGCAACAATGTATATCCGCGTAGTGGTGCTTGTCTGTGTCGTGACGGTGATAGTAGTAGTTGCGCCGAGAGGGGTGGTGGTGGTGGTGATAGTGGTGTCGGTGGGGGTGGTGGTCATTGTGACAGTGAATAGGGTCGTGGTGCTGGTCATGGTGGCAGTGGTCAATATCGTTATGGTGCTGGACAACGTAGTGCTGGTAGCGGTGCCAATGGACACAGTACTGGTGCTGGTCAACGTGGTGGTCAAGGTAGTGGTGCTGGTAGCAGTATGAGTGGACATGGTGCTGGTGCTGGTGATTGTGGCAGTTGTCAAGGTGCTGGTGCTGCTCAACGTGGTGGTCAAGGTAGTGGTGCTGGTAGCAGTATGAGTGGACATGGTGCTGGTGCTGGTGATTGTGGCAGTTGTCAAGGTGCTGCTGCTGGTCGCGGTAGCAGTGGTCAAGGTGGTCGTGGTGGCAGTGGTCAAGGTGGTGCTGCTGGTCGTGGTGGCAGTGGTCAAGGTGGTGATGCTGGTCGTTGTGGCAGTGGTCGAGCTAGTAATGCTGGTCCTGGAGGTGAAGGTAGTGGTGTACACTGTAGTAGTAGTGCCGCTGGTCAGTGTGTCAGTGGTCAAAGTGGTGGTGATGCTGGTCATGGTGGCACTTGTCAGGGTGGTGCTGGTCATCGTGGCAGTGGACACGGTGGTGCTGCTGGTCAGCGTGGTAGTCAAGGTGGTGGTGCTGGTTGCAGTGCGAGTGGACATGGTGCTGCTCCCTGTTGTGCTGGTCTCAGTCATGCTGACAGTTGTCCTGGTTGCAGTAATCACCTTAATTTCTGGTGGTGTTACTTCGATCTCAGATCCCACTATCGCGAAACCTTGCGAAAGGAAGACTGATTGAATACCGGATCCGAAATCATAAGCAACAACGCTATCATTAACAACCTGGCTTGCAAAATCGTATATGTTCTCCGCAGGAGCTTCAGGCGAGATGATCTCCCAATCGACGTTATACTGCGGCCAGAACCATCAACGACATACCGGGCCAGGCTCGCAGAAGCGGTGACAGTCACAATGACATTATCTTCATCAACTTGGAAAACCCTCGCTAAATGAGATGTGAATGCCCTTGTAATATTATCAACCGTCCCATTGCTTTGAAATGAGATGGCACTGGAGACAACGTAAAGGGGTGTGGTGGTAGATGTATGAGTGATACTAGTGCTGGTCGCAGTGGTGCTGGTCGCAGTGGTGCTGGTTACACTGGTACTGGTGGCACTCAAGCTGGTGGCGGTACCAGTACTCTGGGAGGTACTGGTCCCAGTGTGAGTGGAAATGGTGGTACTGCTAGTCGCGCTGGTAGCAGTGGTCAAGGTGGAGGTGCTGGTCATGGTGGCAGTGGTCAGGGTAGTGGTGCTAGTCATGGTGGCAGTGGTCAGGGTAGTGGTGCTGGTCGCAGTGATGCTTGTCAGGGTAGTGGTGCTAGTCATGGTGGCAGTGGTCAGGGTAGTGGTGCTGGTTGCAGTTAAGCTCGTCAGGGTAGTGGTGCTAGTCATGGTGGCAGTGGTCAGGGTAGTGGTGCTGGCTGCAGTTAAGCTCGTCAGGGTAGTGGTGCTAGTCATGGTGGCAGTGGTCAGGGTAGTGGTGCTGGTCGCAGTGATGCTTGTCAGGGTAGTGGTGCTAGTCATGGTAACAGTGGTCAAGGTGGAGGTGCTGGTCATGGTGGCAGTGGTCAGGGTAGTGGTGCTGGTTGCAGTGATGCTTGTCAGGGTAGTGGGGCTAGTCATGGTGGCAGTGGTCAGGGTAGTGGTGCTGGTCGCAGTTGTGCTCGTCAGGGTAGTGGTGCTGGTCATAGAGGTAGTACTCGTCACGGTGGTGCTGGCAAGGAGCCTCCTGCCCGTCACAGATTTGGTAGCGATGCTAGTTATGGAAGCGATTGCCGGGGTGGTGTTGCTTATCATGGAAGTTGCGACGTGAATTTCACGTCCACCACCGCAAATACAGCAAGCTTCCACAGCCGAATGGCCCATGCTCCCCACATCCGAAGGATAGCCGATGACGAAATGGCGATTCATGACCTGATCAGCAGATGTCGTGCACAAATCCTCGTAGTCGTCGCAAGGAAGCCCTCTACTATCGGTCCAATCTGCGGGATTGTTTGCACAACCCTGCCTCTCATGACAGCGCGCCTCACATGTTATCATCGCCAGAAGCAATGCGGTGAACACCCCGTACAAGCTGCAATGCAACTCATACGGACTGCCTTGGCGCCCAGGGCCCATTGATATCTTTGGAGGGACGCTACGCGTTTCAAACTAAAGACGATGTATAGTGACTGAGCACGGCTGCGCATGCTTGAGCCACTGGCTTGAGCCAAAACGGCTACGGAGGCTTCCTGGATTCTTTTTTGGGAGGTGATGGGTGGTCTGAATCGTCGTCTGCTGTGCAAGTGTAGACCGGAGGCCAAACTTGGACAGAAAAAGCAAGGATTGTGGGACTTCATTTTTTTTCTAATTCCTCGGCGCTGTTCGGCGCTGTTTTTTGGTTGTGCCTCGCGGATTTTGTTAGCCGATCCCCTCAGGGGTGCAGGATCTTCCGGACCCCCTGGGGTTTCTGGAGGCCTCCTGGATGCCTGGACAGCCGTCGGAAGGGTGTCTCGGGCTGCGCGGGAGCGTGTTGGGCCGTTCTGTACGTTCTGGGGGTTCCTTGGGGTCGTCTTGGGCTGTCCTGGGGCGTCTTGGGGCCCCCCCATGGGAAGCTGGGAAGCGCGGTGCCGTCCAGATGTCAGGGGATGTGTGAGACCTCCGAGTAGAAGTGTCGCATTGAAAAAAAGGGAATTCTGGGAATTCCCTTTTTCAAAATCCTCGATCTTCGAGGGTTGGAAGCAGGAAAACGTGAAAGGCGAAAAACATTAGAAAAACAAGTGGAAATCAACGGTTTGACCCTCTTTGGGCTCTCTCGGGACGGCTCTCGCAATTCTCTTGGGCTGTTCTTGGAGCCTCGTTGGGTTTTTTTTAGGACCTCTCAAGGATCGGGGGGGTGTTGGGGGCCTCTGGGTTGTCCAGGAGGCCTCTCGGAGGTCTCTGGAAGCCTCCTGCTCCTGCTCTTGGGCCAGTCTCGGGCCTGTTCTGAGGTGGTCTGGGGCTGTCCTGGGCGCTTCGGGAGTCTTGGAGCCTTCTTGGTCCTTCTTGGGGCCGTCCTGAGGGTCTCCTGGGTGGTCTTGGGGCGGTCTTGGGCGACTGTTCGGCGTTCTTACAACGTTGGAAGTTCGAAAACAACGATGTTGGCCTGTTCGGGCCGTCCCGGGACGCCTTTCGGACCTCTCTTGAGGTCTCTTGGAGCCACCTAGGAGCCTCGAGAACCGTCAGAAGGCTGACTTGGGCTGATTGGGAGCGTCTTGGGCCATCCTTTCGCATTCTGGACACTCCTGGGAGGCGTCCTGGGCCCTCCTGGAGCGCGGTGGAGGCCCCCCGGAAAGGCCGAGGGAACGGTACTGGGAGCGTCCCCGAGACGTCACGGGGAAGTGGGGGACCCGAGACCCGGGGGGGGGCAGCATTTATCTATATTGTGGACGTATGTGTGTATATATATATGTGTGTACATATATATATGTGTGTATATATATGTGTATATGTATATTTGTGTATACCTGTACACGTACATGTGCATAAATGTATATAGGCATACGTGCACATGCACATTTGTGAAGATGTATGTATGTATGTATGCATGTATGTATGCATGTATGTATGTATATATACATATATGTGTATACATGTACATGTACATGTGCGTAAATGTATATAGGCATACGTACACATGCACGTTTGGGAAGATGTATGTATGTACGTATGTATGTATATATGTACGCATATGTGTATATATATGTATATGCACATACATACATACATACATACATACATACATACATACATACCCTTTTTTGGGCAATCGTTCCCTCGCCAATGGCCATTATCACCACTGACCGACATGCAAAACACGTTCGTCTAATTGTTTCGTCGTTCGAAGGGTCGCCCGACCCTTTGGCAAACAACGCGGCGCCGTTTGCGCGAAGGTCAATTTTGCACAATTGAAACTCGTCGCGAACCCGCGGCGCCGCCGTTTGCCCCAAACGAAAAAAACAAGCAAGAAAAAGCTGGCAACCGGACATTTGCACTGGCGGTGGCGTCGCGAACAAACAACTCAACGCGTGCTACACCGTTCCATCCAATATTTTAGCACGCGCGCGGCAGCGCGGAAAGCCCGCGAACGCTGGGCGGCCGACGCAAGGCCGCGGCACTGGCGAGGCGCGCGCGCGTGCAAAAGAGCGCGGCTGAACGAATCGCTCCACAACCTGGGGGGGGGAGCGCGAGCAATATTGGCGCAACGGCGAAATTCAGACGATCTTGGGCGTCGTCGAAAAAAACGCTTGCGACGCAGCGTCGCACTTGGCCCCGCTACCACTGACGGGGCGCACCCCGCAAACACACAGCGCAGTACCCGCACCAGCGCTGGGTTCGTTGCCCAAAGGCTTGGCGAAGGCGCGAGCAGGGCTTGGAACCAATGTTGCAAATAGGCGCGCTGAGGGTCGCTCGGCGACAGGGGGGCGGGCGATAGAGGGGGGGGGGGGGGCAAGAAGTGAGCAAGGACTCAAGGGTGTAGAGAGCAAGAAAAGGGGAGGGGGAAAAGGGCGAAAGGGAAGCGGGCAAGGAGGGGCGACAACACACGGAAGAGAGGGAACGAGGACAGGGAAGGCAAAAATATGGGGGGGCGAAGGAGGGAACGGGGGAGAATGAGGGAGGGAGCTAGGGGAAGCGGAAAACGAGGGAGGTGAATGGAGGGAGGTGGGAGGAACGAAAGGAGGGAGGAAACATGCAAGTGGGGGGTCGCAGTCCCGACAGGGCGCCTACTTGACAACGCCCGCTCTGGTCCCGACAATGCGCCTACTTGACAACGCCCGCTCCGCTCCCGACAGGGCAAATAGTTGACACCGCCCGCTCCGCTCCCGACAGGCAAATACTTGACAACGCCCGCTCCGCTCCCGACAGGGCGCTTCCTTGACAACGCCCGCTCCGCTCCCGACAGGGCGTTTCCTTGACAACGCCCGCTCCGCTCCCGACAGGGCGCCTACTTGACAACGCCCGCTCTGGTCCCGACAGGGCGCCTACTTGACAACGCCCGCTCCGGTCCCGACAGGGCGCCTACTTGACAACGCCCGCTCCGGTCCCGACAGGGCGCCTACTTGACAACGCCCGCTCCAATCCCGACAGGGCGTTTACTCGACAACGCCAACCGCCGTTTCAGCGCATAGCGTGCGCCACATAGCTTGCACAACAGAACTCGCACCACATAGATTGCACCACATGGGTTACGCCACACAACTTGCATCCACATGGCTTGCGCCACATCGCGTGCAACCCATAGCTTGCACCACATAGCTTGCGCCACAGAACTCACGCCACGTAGCCTGCACCACATCGTTTCGGACGCATATATTGCACCGCACAGCTTGCGCCACGTTGATAACACCACATAGCTTGCACCACGTGGCTTCCCTCGCATAGCTTACACCACATAGCTTGCAACATGTAGTTTGCACCGCATAGCTTGCGCCATGCGAGGAAAGCAACCTGGAATCTGGAGCACCGTCGGGACCCCCCGGGGCCATCCAGAAACCACCCGTCGGGCCACCCCCCGGGCCATCCAAAAACGCCGGCGGGCCCCCCCCCGCGGTCATCCAAAAAATGCGCCTGGGACACTCGAAAAAACCTCCCGCAAAAAATTCCGCCGAAATTTCTGCCAAAAACCATTTCGGAATCCATCGCCAATTTCTCCTGCATTTTTTCAAAGCAGGAATCCCGTCATAAGAAAATTGGCGGAGAAATTGGCGGCCGCCTCCCGGGGCGCTTGCGGGGTCCCCCGCGGGGGAGGGGCGGGAGGGTGGAGGGTGAGGGCCGGTGGAAACCGAGGGAGGAGGTGGAGGGCGAGGGAGCGCGAGGGGGAGTCGAGGGTAAGGGTGGAAGGTGAGGGAGGGGGAATGAGGGAATATGAACGAGGGTGGAAAAGCGGACGGAAAGTGAGGAAGGGTGGGGGGCGGGGTGGACGGAAGGTGAGGGAAGGGTGGCAGGGCAAGTGAGATGAGGGAGGGCGGGGCGAAGGAGAATGGGTGAGGGCGGAAGGTGAGGGAGGGCGGAGGGCGGGGAGCGGATGTGGGGGGCGAGGGAAGGCGAACGCATGGCGCGGAAAAGGACGGGGGAGGGAAGAGGGGGGGGCAGGGCGGGGGAAGAGGGAGAAGGGGGGGCAAGGGAACGCGGGGGAGCGAAGAGAGGGAAGGGAGGAGGAACAAGGGAGGTGGAAGATAAGAGGAAGAAGGAGGGGGGCAGGAAGACGGGAGCAGGGAAAACGAGGGTGGAGGAAGGAGAGACGAGGGACCGCGGAGGGGGGAAATTGGTTGACGGGGGGGCGGGGCAGGGCAGGAGCAGGCGGAAGGGCGCAGGAGGGGCAGGGAGGGCGGAAGGAGGCAGGCACCGGGAGAAAAGGCGCAGGAGAAGGGAAGAGGCAGGAAAGGGGACCACGTCGTAGAGACACCTGGGCTCTTGGGTTTCCCTAGGGTCCCCTGACACTGTCCTTCGGGGCCCCTGGGTTTCCCGAAGGCTCCTTCGGGGAATTCTTAAAACACCTCCCCGCGCCGACGCTGGGGCAGCGAAGGGCGATGTTCCAGAGAAGACAACCCCGCCGACTGGTGGGGGGGGCCCCTGGGAGCTCCCCCGTTTGACCCTGGACGCCGGCGGTCGCGCCGAAAAGGCGGGGGCGCGTCGAAACGAGCGCCCAACGATGAGTAGGGGAGCCAGAATCGCCACGGTTTGGGGCACCCGTGCAACGGGCCGACGGTTCTCCCTGGGCGACGCTGACAGGGCGCCCGCCGAGACGAAAGAGTTCGCCACCCACGCGATTCGGCCTCCCAGCGAATGAACGAAAGCCAGAAAGATTCAGAAACAAAAACATTATGAGAAGAAGGACGACGGAAGGAGGACCGACGCGAGGCGTCACGGCCGCCACCCAACGATCAAACGAACGAGGATGATCAAGGATCAGTCCGCCGGAACCTCCGAGCACGCTCGCGCAAAATCCACGCAGCCACATTGTTATTTTGCATCGTAGGTTCTGGGAGGCAACACGGAACTAGGCACCCCAATATTGGAAAAGGGCTGCCACGCCCGTCGGTCGCCGCGTCTCCCGAGGAGCAGGGCGTCGGGGGCGCCGCGAAGGGAAGTTGCCCGGCAACAACATATGTAGCCGTGGACTTGGCCCGCGCGAGGGCCCCTTCCAGGCGGGCGGCTCGCGGGCTCGCGGGCAAGATGGGGCGGCGCCCCCCGCGCGCGCA